TCCGTGTGGGCTTGGTTGCTTTTCAGCTAGATGGCCGCTTTAGCTCTCATGACATGGCCCTACTCAATACTTGCCTTTATGAAGGGATTGCTGAAGATATGGGTATACTATAGCAAAGTGTGGTGAAGAAATCAGATGGGGCCTGGCTATCAGAAAGAATAGCATCTGGGGTCTTAAAGGCTTGTCTTAAAACAAGCAGCAACATCTGAATAAGGTGACAGCTAAGTCCACATGAAAGAAACACAACAACCTGTGTCATCAGAGTTGTCATCAATAAAATCCAAGGCCCGAGGAGAGAATAGTATTACAGCACAAATTATGAGCCCTCCGATTGTAGAAGGCTGGCAGTGAAAGCCCATAATCCATTTGTAGGGAATAAGCCTCCAATGAACACCCTCAACCATTGGCCACGGATGTGACTCACCATGCTGTCCGACAGAGTGCACTGGAAAGGAGACTGATGTAGGTAGAGTTATGGTAAAATTAACTACCTTTTGTTCATTTTAAATTCGTTCTAGTTTTTATTATTTTCTGTTATCTTTTCCACTATGTTTTTTCATTGTTTCATTTTGTTAGTGTTAGTGGTTTTTTGTTATTTTTTTATTTTTATTTTTGTATGTTTTTCTTTATATGAAAGTCAGGGAGGTAAATCTATAGAACAGTAACAGGATTAATATTTTCTTGGGGTTATTAGCAAGAGAGGTTGGTAGGAAATGGGGATCTAATAGGACAAAAATAAGAAAATGTTCTAAAATTAATTATAGTGATGATTGTACAACTCTTTTTAATATGTTTAAACTAATGAATTGTATAGTATGTGAATTATAGGTCAATAAATTTGTTAAACTAAAAAACTAAAAACAAAAAAAAACAGGAGATGACGTTATAACCTTGTATGTAATTCATCACAGAGCTAAGTGTTTGGCTGCTAACCTCAAGGTTGGCAGTTTAAACCTATCAGGCCCAGCTGGAGAAAAATGAGCCTGTCTGTTCTCAGAAACATTCCCAGTCCTGGAAACCCTATAGCCATGAGCTGGAATCGACTTGGTGGTAGCAGGTTTTTGTGACATATCAAGTTTAAATTTAGGACTGGAAAACTAGACCTGCTCTCTGGAAAGAAAAAAAAAATTGATGTCTTCAAATAAAAATTTAGGAGGCATTTGCTTTAGAGCATAAAACAAAGGTTTAGTTGCTATTTGAACTCAAAAGATATAGTTATATGACTTACTGATTATCTGTTAACTAATAGATTTGTAAAAAGTAAAGTACATGTCATACTGATTATCTGTAAATAATAGACTGGTTCACTATAGACCCACATAATTTCAATTTTCTTTGTCATTACATTGCTTTCTTTGTGTATGGGTACTGTCAGCCATTTTGATTGTTTACCAAACATTTTTCAAATAACATTTTTAAGAGAGAATTCATTATCTTTTTCCTCAAACCAAGTTTTCTGCCCTGGTTTGTGGTTTCATCAATCCACCCAGCTCCACCTATCAGTCCATCCCAAACTTCAGACTTGGGAGATAAGTCACATTCAGCTATCTTCTCTCATATTCCATGAGACACTAAATATATTGAATGTCTCATAAGTCACCCTTTCACCAGCCAACCCTACTGTCACTTACTTAGCACAAATCCTCGGGATCCCTCTGACTCTGCTCCAGGAGCCTCTTTGCTAAGCTTCTTGTT